ATATATTTTTCGAGTCTTATATTTTTCGAGTCTTAAAAAAAGTTTATATTAATTTCTTAACTATTTAATGTTAGTTATTTTTTTCTTATTAATTATTAATTTAACGATTATTTTTAATTTTTTTTTGTCGTTAATTAGTTGAAAAGGATTAACATGATACATTTTAAAGAGTTAAAAAATAATAAAACTTTTTTAAAATAAAGAAATTAAAATGAACTCCAAAATTAATATACAAACTAAAAAGAATATTAAACCTACATAATATAATCCAAAATATTACTTTTTAAAAATTTTTAATCAACAATTAATATTTATTTATTTATTTTATTCAATTATAATAATATGAAATATTTCAAAATATTCTAAAAAGTATATTCTTATTTCTTAACTTGGTTACTTCAAGAGCATTTCTGAAATATGAATGATTTTTCTTTTAAATTTTTTTATCTAACTTACACTTAAATCAAATTGATTTATAAACTTTATTTACATTCTAATTGTTTAGTTGTTATGAAACTCATATACAATTCACTATACCAAATGACAACAAAAATTACAATCCTCATAGATGTTTGAAATTAAATTATTAGTTCTTCACGAACCATGTCTCACATACGATGATCAAGAAAACTTATTTGTTAGACAATTCTTCAAAATGTGTTAATATTAAATTTATAGTTCTTCATTAACGATATCAAAAATAATCTTCATAAATAATGATCAAAAAATTATTCTTTGAGCAATCAAGAATGAAATTCATAGATTTTTGAACAATGATGAACATTTTTCTACGAGCATAAATGACCAAGCATGATACATGTGAACCGCCTGAATCAAAATCGATGTTTGAGGACTGTATGCCGTTTGGATCCGATTCAACCGTCTCCATTTATTGGACACCGCCACCACCGGCAACGACTGGACCGTCTCCATCGCAATTTTGACATTCTTCGTCAATATTTTACAGCTTTTTCAGCTTTCTACAACTTTGGTTTCAGATAGTTTCAAAATACGATTTCCTTATACTTAAGGTTTTAAGAATACTTCTACAATTCCCCATCTTCACTTTAAACTGTGGTGATTTTAATTTATCCATCAACTAATTTGTTGTTCTTTACCATGTTAAAATAACTATTTAACAACCTTGATCAAGTTCAAACAAGATTTGAACCTTGATTTTGTAACTTGCATCCATTTACTTATAACCACATTTTTCCCGTTCAAGTAATTAACAGACCCATAAGTATGATTTTTCAACTAAATTTGACTCCATATGCATTTAAATGCCTCCATGAAGGTTCATGTTTCTGAATTTTGCAACCCTTCAATCATAATATAAGCATATCTACCAAGGCCATCATAATCGCATCTTTTAGATGGTATAATCTTCCTCTTTACTGTATCACAAGTCAAATGATAATTAAAGATTTATATAGTCATTCCCTAACTACTAGTAGTTTCCATAACAAGAACATACACCTCAAACTGAGTCTTTCTCATCATAGTTTCTGAAATCTTCATCTTCAGATTTTTACTCTTCCTCCCTTTCCAAGACTCCTTGAAATTAATACATTTGTGAATGGTAAACTCGATCCTCCAGGTTCCACTTAAAGTTGAATTAGCTTGATTTCATCAATAAGAAATTTTTTGATGGACTTTAAACAAAAGCAATCTACAAGTTTCCTACTCTAAATCTCTATAAGTGTCTAAAGGTATATTCTCGTGTATGAAATTTTTTCGACTAGATAAGCTACTTTTGCACCATCCTTACCCCCAAAAACTCAATGGCAACTTGGCAATCAAATCTCATAGCTTATTTTTGTCATAAAAGTCTTCACTAGCTGACGATGAAGGAACAACAACAATAGAACTTTCAAAAATATATACCCTATATATTTTAGACCCTTTAACCATTATCGCTTATACTACATTCACCTAAATAATTAAACATGCTTATGGATAAAAACTTTGCTGAACTTTGGAACATATCTCACAGTGTGAAGAAGGAACACGCGATCATTGAACAAATTAAGTCTGAACATACCAATACCATGAATCATGCAAACCTTGTTGTCACCAAGGAAAACTACTTCATCTTCCTCCATATTCAAAGTATCAAAGTATTATTTCTTTGGATACATGTGATAAGAGAAACCTTATTTCATGTCTGAAATACCTCCAGTCTCGAAACACAACATCACTAGTGCACAGACATTATCATAAATATCTTCATATGAGACAACAACAATCTAAGTGTAATCTTCATTGTCCTTCTTTTGGGAAATCCTTCATGAATCGACCGAGTTTTTGACAAATAAAGCATTTAATCTTAACTTGCAAAACCTCTTGAATTTGGACATTCCTCCAAGCTCACTTCCTCCTCTTGAGACACCTAACCCTTCACCAATATTGTCAATCTTCAAACCTTTCACCTTTGAAAATTTCTTGCACCTTACAGTTGTCTGGACTTTATCAAAGTAATAGTATATTCTTTACCATAAAGAATATCATCCTAAAAGTTATCAAAGGATATGGGTAATGATCTTAACAAGGGTATATCCTTGTGCCCATCATTAATCTCCACCTTAATATTCTCCAGATCATCAATGATCTTATGAAATTTTGTCAACTACTACATTATGGATTTGTTCTTTAAATTTGAGAATGAATAGAGTTGTTATTTCAAGCACCACATGGGAGCTAAATACTGGTCATGCACAATGATTAGAGATTTGTCCATATTAAATCCCGAGTCTTCTCCCTATATACTTCCCTAAGAACTTTATTTATGATGCACAAGATAATTACACTTTAGGACTTACTAACCATCCCAGTCTTCTCTACTTGTGTTATATGGTCATGCATCTATTACTCATACTTCAATGCTTCAGTACACTTTTATTGTGTTAAACTTGTTTGTATCTTCACTTTTCGCAACCTAAAATCGTTGTCTCTAGATAACTTTTTAATATCCCATTTAGTATCCATTGTGAACACTTGTAAATAAGACCTCTTTGCCTCCACGGTGGTCACCAATTATTGTGAAAACTCTAACAGGTCTAGTGAATTTGTTGATACATTCAAACACACCAAGAAATATGATGCGTGAGACAAATAACAATGACAAACAAAATAAATATCATCATGCAACAAAACAACATGTCAAATGATGTAAGCAAATCTACAACAAACAAGAGAAAGATAAAAAAACAAGAATACAAAGAAAATTGTTTACCCATTTCAATCAAATTGATCTATTATGAGAGAGAGAACATCTCTCTGGTTCACTGTACTTTAAAAAATTATTACAAGAGATTTCAAAAGAGTTATGAGAAAATAGTCACCCAAGTTCCTAATAATAAATCATATTTTCTACCTAAGTTTGTTCAATTTCTCCAACTATCTATATATGAATCACACAATCCTAAGGTGTTTAGAAGTGTTTCCCAAATTCCAAGCGCACAATCATAATCTTTTTTTACCATTTCCTCTTTAAGTTTTCCCTAGGATTGTCACCTTTTCCTTTTATCTTTCAAACTACATATTAAATTTAGTTCTAGAAGAATGATAGAGACACTTATTTATAACAGCTAAAACCCAACAAATTCATAACACCCCGAAAACACGATAATCACAAACGGATCTGCAATTAGAAAACAAAACATTTTATATCCGCAAACCTCTTGAACCAAACCTAATGCTCGAGGATGCCGCCATTGGAGTTTTCTCTTGCCACGCGTTGTTGGAATTCTTTGCCACCACCAACTGAACCTAGTCAATTACAGCCACCACGACTTCGCTTTAGTTGACTTTCGGACCAATGTCATTGCGATTCTGAAGTTCTTCACGACCTTTCGATTGCTTATTGACTTTATGCAACTTTGATTTTGACGGTCTCAAAATAATATTTCCTTCCATTCACCACTTAAAGTTTTAAGGCATAATTCTATAAAAGGAATGAGTTGAAAAGTTGCGCCCAATGCTTTAGGGATACCAAACAACACCACGCTCGACCATGAGTGAATCACCATATCGATTTACATACAAGATTCAAATGGTGATTCCCTTTGAGATTGGAGAAATCAATTGAAGGACAACACATTCACTCATCTTCAAAGCAAATGGGTGATGTGTTGTCCTCCAGCTGATCTCTTCATTCTCGAATGGAATCACCGCTTTGATCTCGTATTTAAATCAATATGGTGATTCACACGTGTGTGCATATGTGAGAGAGAGAGAGAGAGAGAGAGAGAGAGAGAGAGAGAGAGAGAGAGAGAGAGAGAGAGAGAGAGAGAGAGAGAGAGAGAGAGAGAGAGAGAGAGAGAGAGAGAGAGAACTCGGGTATAAATCTTGTTTGTTCTTGGAAACTTGAATGACTATTTTATTGTAACTAATTTGTAATCTTTTCTAATAATTTTTGAAAACATATTTAATTGGAAAAATATTCTCTTCCCAAAATAGATCAATTTGATCAAATGAATAAACAAATTTTATTGTACTCTTGTCTTTTATTTCCCTCTTATTTATTGTGGATTTGATATATGTAAATTATTTTGGTTGTCATTAACAAATTTAAATTAAAAGTAAATTTAAGAGTTTAGTGTGGTTGAATCTATCAACAAATTTATTATTGTTGTTAGAGTTTTGAAAGAGAAGAACTGTACTTAATTTTTGGTAAATAAACCTAAGAGAACTAATTTTTGAAGTTGATTCATTCCATATATCTATTCAAGAACTGATCTTATTATGTCTTTATTGTATCATTCCACAAAGTTGGAGACTTGATTAGACTTCTTGTCACAAGTTTTGCCACCAAACACATACTTTCCACTCTCAACTATCCAAAACCTTGAGAATTTCAAAAACAAAAGAGAAAAAATCTCATGATACTAATAGTTTCAAGTAATGAACATGATACAAACAAGACTTGTATTGTAGTAGCTATTGACTGTTTGATTACTTTAAAAAAATCAATAAACAAATTTCAAAAATGAATCTAATTATGCAGACACAAATTTATATTTCTTGTCATCTTCAATACCGAATGTCTTTCGTCTATTCTTTCTCGAATCTTTCTGAGGAAAATCTGCTGAATGATGAGAAGCAGGGGGAGGACGAGAAAACACTTTCTCTCTGAATTCTTTTCGGATGTCCCATAGAACCTCTGCACAATTCTGCATCGATGGCCGCGATTTTCGTACAGGCGCAAGGCATTGGAATGCAAGCTTGAGAACCTTTTGTACAGCTTTGTTTGAGGCTGAACTTCTCCTAAGCCTTGGATCCATTGCAATCACTTCTTCTCCTCGTTTTAATAACTGCATTGCCTGCATATTTACATGCAAATTGTGTTAGTCTTATCAATCCAATGATTCATTGCAAGTGTATTTACCTGCATAATAGGATTCAATGCTCCATGTTAATAGAGCTTTATAGATAAGAAAACCAAGTGGTTTGAATAAGGTGGCTAATGAGTTTGAGTCAAGTTTGATCCCTGACTTAAATGATCTTTGGTCAAACTTTCAAGACCGTCTTTAAGGATCGCAAGACAGACTACTGCACAAGGCCTAAAATTTGTCACAGTTAAACTGTGGTTGGAGTTATATTGAAGAAAAAAAAACACAAGTTCAACATTGAATAAAGATAAAGTCTAATTAGAGCTTATAAAAGCTTGAATCTCTGGCCTTAAAAACCGATTTTGTAAGAATGTGTTAGAGCTAATACAAAATCTAATACGATATCATATCAGAGTCTATCAATTCAAGTTATCAGACATTTATTTTCACGCGCCTAGTCCAAAAGTGCCGGTGTGAGGGTATATAATTATAAACACTATCATTAGGAGAATAATTTGACATGTATATAATACACTTACCCATTTAATTGTAACTCTTTCATCGAGGGGTTTCTTTGGTTCAACTGGATATCTTCCTGTCATCATTTCAACAAGTAACACACCAAATGAATAAACATCACTCTTTTCAGAGAGTTGCCTTGTTCTCATGTAATCAGGATCTAAATAACCGGCTGTTCCTTTAACTTGAGTCGAAATATGAGTTGCATTAGGGTCCTCTGAAGCCAACCTAGCAAAACCAAAATCTGCTACTTTGGCCCTTAAACTGTCTGTTATTAAGATATTTGATGCTTTTATATCTCTATGAATGATTGGATGATCTGTTAATCAATCAAACAATAACATAGTCAAGATCATAAACAAAAAGCAGAGCCGTCTTAACTTTTTGTAGCCTCTGTGTAAGTTAGCCACAATTCAACCATAACAAAACAATCAGAGACCCTATTTAACCCTAACAAATTTTAATACCTATACGATAGTCTGTCTTGCACGCCCTAAGGGCACATACCTGTGTACATATGAAGGTATGTAACTGCATGAGCTACATCAATTGCTACATCCAAACGCTCACCAATTTCTAGTCCATTTCCTCTCATACCATCTAGATGTTCCCTAAGAGTTCCATTATTAACATATTCAATAACAATAATCTTTTCATCTCCATGCTCCAAATATCCATGCCATTTCACAAGATTCAGATGCTCAATTTTTGATAACGTGTTTATCTCATTCTTGAACTCAGCCAAGTGCTTCTTTTGTACATCCTGTCAACAAACATTACTACATCAGATGCAGTAATTTCAACCGTTGTCGCAAAACCAAACACGCGAAAATCTCAATCATATTTAAACCAGATCTTACAGACGGAAAATAATCAAAAAATGAACTTTTTCATGTCATACCTTCCTAGCACACTTTACCGCCACAAGTGTTCCATCATAAAGCTTTCCCTTATACACAATTCCAAACGCCCCTTCTCCAATCTTATTATCCTGAGAAAATTTTCCTGTTGCCTTATAAAGTTCCTCAAATGAAAAATTTCCAACTCCAATTTGATTACTTGAAATCCTAGTTGGTGTTGAGGGATGAGAAGATTTCCACTTTGATGAACTCTTAGAACCCTCAAATGATACATCTGTTGAAGCTGCAAAAGAACAGCACCACATATAAAGGGTTGACCATACAAAAATACATGATTAATTATTCATCATACTTACATGATACTCCTCTGACTTTATTATTATTCCTTGCAGAATCATGTTCAACAGCTTCTGAGGATGTTTTTGATTTCCCAGAGAGAATCAATGTGAAAAGACCTGAAATTTTCTTAACAACATACTTGAAATTTGTCATGGTACCATAATCATTATTCTTAGGATTGTGTCTATTTGTGCCAATATTTTTCTTCCTTTGGTTTGATTGATGCAAACTTGAAGTTGATGGTTTTTTCATTGGTAGGTGAAATGAAACTAAAGAGTATTCAATTTCATAATCATCTCTCTTTTAGCTATATAATAATCAAAAGAGATATGTTCTTCTAAGTTGCTTTCATATGTAGTTTCATTCATACATGTTTTTCAAACATTGTTGTTTTGTTTTTGTTCTTGTCCTATAAAAGTGTTTTTTTATTTTCTATCTTTCAAAGTATAACATTTTTATAAAGAAAAGTTGCTATCAGTTACCTACAAAGTCAAGATAATAGCAGCAAGAAACTACAGAAATGCTAGCTGGAGTTAGTCCTTGGTCTTTAATGTGTCATTATCAATTAATAAGTACGCGGTTTCACATTGTGACTTGAAAAGACTTTGCTTTTGGTCTTGGTTTTTAGATGAGAAATGCTTTTGACACTAAAATGCCACAAATAGTTATGAAATAGTATTATTAAAACTGACAAAATCTTGTTACAATGTTCATTTGTTTGTCTATGTTATTGCTTGTAGAGTCATTGAATGATTGAACGAATAATATATTAGTGTTTGAAAAAGGACAGTTTTAGTAGTTTATTTTTGTTATTTAGACAATTGGTCATATTGAACATTTTGTTTTAATTGATCCTTTTTTTTCATTTTATTTTATTAGTTATTAATATATTTTATTGATTAATTAATAAAAAATAATTAAAAATACAAAATTTTAAAATATTGCACATCCACTAGATGCAAGTTTAGAGGTTGAATTAGAGTTTCACAGTGTGCGCGATTGTCATTTGACACATTCGCGTTTAACTTTTTTTAGATTATCCAGTTGTGCAATAAAATTTTGAAAAATATGTGACTAAATGTGGAAACAAATCATGCTCGTTCAAATGCAACGTGATCATTTAGAAAGAAGAATAATAAATGGTGGGTTTTTCGTGTGACTGGGCCCCACACTTGCACATCTTTAATTATGTCCCGATATCATAGCAAGCTTGACTCAGACGTCATTTGTAGTAGTGATACATCAATTCAGGAGAATGTTGTTATTGTTAGAGGAGTTTTACACTAGAGAGCATTGAATATAGGCCAAGAGCAACACAAGTAAGAGACACACCACATATTCACCCAAAACCTTAAGGTGATAGGTGTATGGATTCTCCCACTTATAAATACTCAAGTCACCACTATCCATGCTACTCACACTTGTTATATTCTCAACACTTTCACTCAGGTGTGAGTCCACAATGCTCCCACTTATAAATACTCAAGTCACCACTATCCATGCTACTCACACTTGTTATATTCTCAACACTTTCACTCAGGTGTGAGTCCACAATGCTCCCTCTCATGTGGAAACTCTTTTTATGTTCACATATGTTTGTACCACCGTTGACACCTATTACTAGGCACCTCTTATTAGGTATTTCTAATACATCTCTTCCTTGGGCATTTCGATTTCAACGGGACACCACTTCCTGGGCATTTCGATACATGTAAGTCGATCCCTTTACGAACCAAAGGCTCATGATACCATGTTAGAGGAGTTTTACACTAGGGAGCATTGAATATAGGCCAAGAGCAACACAAATAAGAGACACACCACATATTCATCCAAAACCTTAAGGTGATACGTGTATGGATTCTCCCACTTATAAATGCTCAAGTCACCATATTTCTATCCAATGTGGGACTATTATCCATACTACTCACACTTGTTATATTATTCCCAATGGTTATCATGCACATACGTGAAAAGTTCAATTACATAACCTCGTACAAAAAGATGTGAATAACAAAGAATAAGGTAATTGAAGAGATTTACGAGAACTAGGAGACTTCATACAACGACGTTCCACAATGGCTAATGACTATGCAAACTTTGTTCTTGATAATATAATAAAAATGGAGACATTGTCAGCATATTCAATTGATTACACCCATGTCAGTGGTTTCATAATATTTAATTGTCTATTATGAGCTTTTCACCTATGAATTAAAGGGTTTTCATACTGCAAATCCATCACTCAAATTGATGGAGATGGTTATACGGTAAGTACAAAGGAACATTGTCGACAACGGTTTCACATGTTAGGAACAACAACATTTTTTTGATAGATTTTTCCTGGTTAAAGGTGAGATGGTGGTGATTAGAGTTTCTTTCTGAAGAATTTGAGAAGGCACGTGACACCATAATTTGGCCTTTGTTTGATTTCAGACAGGTGTAAATCAATAAAAGTGCATAAAATAATCATGAAAATGACTGGAAAGGAGTAGCGTGAGACTGGAAAGTGCATATAACAATTTGAAGAATTCTGAAAGATGTTGGGAATTTGAAGTTTTTAGACAAGATTACGCAATTTGGATTCGATCGAGTGAAAACTTTAAAGAACCAGGGGTTCTTACAAAGGAGTAACGTGAGACGGTGAATCAAATTGGTAAATCTTAGGTTACAATAATTTGAAATTTGGATTCGATCGAGTGAAGGCTTTGAAGAACAGGGGTTCTTACAAAGGAGTGGCGTGAAACGGTGAATCAATTTGATATTGTTAGATAACTTGATCACAAGGGAAGAGAAAGTGTTAGAATCAACATCAAACATAAGGTTTATATGGTTGCATTGCTACATTTTTCTTGTAAACTGCTTTTTCAAAGTAAGAATACTTTACACTATCCCAATTCGAGTTCGAATTGAGGACAAACATACCCATTGCGAGGTCGATTGGGGAATAACCTAAAAAAAATTCTTGTGTACTCTCTCTCTAGCTATCTCTTTTATTTTTCACTTGCAAATTATTGAATTATTCGATTGTACGATCAATACTATTGGTTAAACTTTTTGGTAACCTTGGAAACATGTTTTGTTGAGTTGATCACAATCTATTTGATTGTGTTTGGATTTGCAAATCAACAAAACCATACACAATTCTAAACGAAATTGATTTCACATAAGGTGTTTGACAATTTGTCTCAATTAAGTTTTTGTGTTCGTTATTATTGGAAATAGTTTTACTTGTTAAATAGCTTTCAAGGGATTGTGATTAAAGCATACTAATTTATTTGTTTATCATTATCATCGATTGGTTTTCATATACGCATATTCGAGCTTTTCAATAGCGGTTCAATTTAGAGGATTTGATCCGGGTCACTTCCGCTAGCCATTAAAATTTTAAAATAGTTTTTGTAAAGTGTTTTTTAAAATTAGGATTATTTCAACCCCCCCCCCCCTCTAGATAATTCTCCTTTGTCTAACATCTTGAGGGCCACGAATGACCCTTCTTCCGCCTTTGATTCTTTGGAGGTCGAGCTTTGCCGTCAAGAGATGTCTCGCCCCGACGCTTCTCTCTAGCCACTATTGAATCCCTAAGGAAGTGTGAAGGGATGGTCTTTGGTCATTCAGCTTGCATCCTAACCAGGCGACCCCTCTTCCCGCCAAGAAAAATTCTGGTCATTTCCTCTACAAAACAACAATGTTAAAACGTATAAAGTAGTATGGAAAAATTCAAGTCAGAAGGTTCCTTTCATTCCATAAAAGCTTACCCAGATACTTCTATACCCCACTATCGTCTTCACGGTCCAGGGTGACTATGTTATAAGAACTAATAAGTTGGAAGCAACTTAAAACCCGGATCACCTTTCACTCAAGGAGGAAAAGGCGATGGAGTCTACCCCTTTGACAGAGGAAGGTGAAAGGCATATGTCACTTATGTGGTCTCCATAGAAGTGTTGTCTCTCCCTCTAAACTATATGAATCTATCTTTCCAATCCTCATAAGGCTTCGCATATGGGTCCAACACACACCTTCCTGACAAAGAGCATATATTTATCCAACCGCAAATGGGGAGGATCTCTACACCGTGAAAATAAAGGAATATCCCGGCGATGGGAGAGGCACCCAGATTTCAAGAGATGATCTCGAAAACCTTGATGATACTCCACATGTTAGGATTTATTTGGGAGGGACGACATTCGCATCCACCAGGAAGTCTGTCTCAAAAGGCGTAAAGGAAATCAGAACCCCTAGCTCGTGAAAGACAAGGAGATACATATAAAAATATGGAGCAGAAAAACTACCCATGGTGGCCATGTTGTCTCTTTTCGTTTCTGAATAGGGCTCCATGATTACGTCATCTTAATGCCATGTACTGGAGATTCCAATATCCTAACTGAACCTCGCGATTATTTTAGAGTTTCAATATAGAGACACAATGTCTCAAACATGAACATATTTAGGTTTCTTTCTAGCCATTAATTTATGGCCATAGGAAAGAGGTTTAAAATTGTCGTGTTTGGATCATCAAGAGGCTGACAAACCCTGTAATATCCTTCTCTCCTATACGAACTTAAGGAAGCGGTCATGCTCCTATGAATTTTCTTTGATTTAACAAGATGGAAATTTTAAAGTGGAAGGAAGAGGAAAAGGTTTTCCTGAAAAGTGAGCCAGGACCCTTTATAAGGAAAACAAATAACTCAAGTAATATGCATGCCTAATAGCATAACTATTGCAAAAAGTAGAAGGGGTTCTAAGTGTTAAGGACAAATGTAAGAAAATCAACTAGATTGGATTTCCTCGGGAAAATCACCATGAGTGACATTAAACAATAGTCATTTGTTTGTTCTTAATTATATTATACTAACCATTTATTTGTGCTACAATAACCACTTGATTATTTTGCAATAACCATTTAATGCTACTCCTTTAACCATATAACTATACTGCATTAACCATTTAATTCTTTTAGGAAAAAAAGGTCAAATTTTTCATTTGGAAAATAAGGTTGATTTATGTATGTACATGTCTTTTATTGATTTTAATGGATATTAAATATGAGGTTGTGACATCGATTAATAGATGTTGTGCTCAAAAAGTAAAAAACCGAGAGAAAACATAAGATTTTAGATTGTTTGTTTCTAGAAAAAATAAAATAAGAACATTACCAAAACTAAAGAAAATTATAGTATTCTAAACCTGAAAAAGACTATAAAAAGTTATATAATAAAATAAAATATATTATATTATTGATTTGACCAGATGTT